AGCCTATTTAAATAATTGTATTCTTCAACTAGGCAATCATGTTTGTGATGAGTTCCATGTTATCTCAACATGCATTTGACTATTTACTGTGTGTTAACAACTGTGCTATACACATGACATGTATTATTTTATGTTATTGTCATAAAAGCTATGAGTGAAATTAGTAATGCCGTTTACATAAAAGATAGCTAAGCTTGGGGCTGGTGCAGTAGGTTAATCCTCCGCCTGCAGCGCCGGCATCCCATATGGGTGCCGGTTCTAGTCCTGGCTGCTCCTCTTACGATCCAGCTCTCTGCTATGGCCTGGGAAAGCAGCAGAAGATGGCCCAAGTTCTTGGGCTCCTGCACCCACATGGGAGACCCAGAAGAAGCTCCTGGCTCCTGGCTTTGGATGGGTGCAGCTCCAGCCATTGTGGCCATTTGGGGAGTGAACCAACAGATGGAAGACCTTTCTCTCTGTCTCTCTCTCTCATTGTCTATAACTCTACCTCTCAAATAAATAAATAAAATCTTAAAAAAAAAAAAGCTAAGCTTTAGAGAGGGAAAATAATGATTTTTCCCAAAATCATGTGACAAGAGAATGGTAACACCCAAACTTGAACTTCAGATCCTTGGGGCTGGCTTTGTGGCACAGTAGATTGAGCTGCGCCTGTGATGCCGGCATCCCACATGAGTATTGGTTTGAGTTCCAGCAGCTTCACTTCCTCTTCTGCTCCAGCTCCCTGTTGAGGTGTCTGGGAGGGCAGTGAAGGATGGCCCAAGTGGTTGGGCCCCTGCCAACCACATGGGAGACCTGGATGGTGTTCAAGGTTTTTGTCTTTGGCCTGGCCCAGCCCCAGGTGTTGGGTCCATTTGAGGAGTGACAAATGGAAGATTCTCTGCCTCTCCCTCTCTAACTCTGTTTCAAATAAAAAATAAATAAATCAACAAGCAAATTTTCAAAACATAGGTTTCCCACTGGTCTGTTCTTATTTTTTGGTGGGGAGAGGCTTCAAAGCCTTGCTTTTAATCACTATGGACTTGCATCCTTTCCTGTATAAGGGGTCTTTAAATACAAGTCTGTAGAAACTAGGCATTGATTTAAAATTTTTTGTACCAAAATAAACACATTTGTGCTTAATTGTGCATGGACAGAAGACATAGCTAATTGTGTTAGTCTTGTTAGGAAGGAAAATATAGCATTAGCTGTTAAAAAAAAAAATGACAAAAATGAAAGTCCCAAGGTACACTGGAAAAGAAGACCTGACTTGGAAAGAGGAGACCTGAGCTTGCACTTGGCTCAGTTACTTAGCTCACATATCACTTTCTTAAGAAAGCCTTTCCCAAGCACCTCGTCTCCCTTGTTTTTCTGTATCAGAGCACAGAACTCATTGCTATAATTACCAAAGTGCAGTGATTCTAAAGTGCACGTCTTTCGTATTTTAGCATTTTTGAAGTCTGTGTGCTTCTTAGAATTGGATGGTGTCTTAAAATTAATTGGAAACATTTTTCCTTCATTACTAGTGTATAAAATAAGAATGTGATTTACTGTCAACAATCTCTTAAAAAAAGGTGGGGGGGGGGGATGCCAGCGCCATGGCTCACTTGGTTAATCTTCCGCCTGCAGCGCCGGCATCCCATATGGGCACCAGGTTCTAGTTCCGGTTGCTCCTCTTCCAGTCCAGCTCTCTGCTGTGGCCTGGGAAGGCAGCGGAGGATGGCCCAAGTGCTTGGGCCCTGGACCCCATGGGAGACCAGGAGGAATCACCTGGCTCCTGGCTTAGGATCAGAGTAATCCAGCCATTGTGGCTACTTGGAGAGTGAACCAGTGGATGGAAGACCTTTCTCTCTGTCTCTCTCTCTCTCACTGTCTGTAACTCTATCTGTCAAAAAAAAAAAAAAAAAAAAAAAAAAAACAACTCTTTGAAAGGCCGGCGCCGCAGCTCACTAGGCTAATCCTCCGCCTTGCGGCGCCGGCACACCAGGTTCTAGTCCCGGTCGGGGCGCCGGATTCTATCCCGGTTGCCCCTCTTCCAGGCCAGCTCTCTGCTGTGGCCAGGGAGTGCAGTGGAGGATGGCCCAAGTGCTTGGGCCCTGCACCCCATGGGAGACCAGGATAAGTACCTGGCTCCTGCCATCAGATCAGCGCGGTGCGCTGGCCGCAGCGCGCAGGCCGCGGCGGCCATTGGAGGGTGAACCAACGGCAAAGGAAGACCTTTCTCTCTGTCTCTCTCTCTCACTGTCCACTCTGCCTGTCAAAAAATAAAAAAAATAAAAATAAAAACTCTTTGATTTAATAAAAAGCAGTATTTACTTTATACTAAGGGTCTTCAAAAAGTTCATGGCGGGGCAGGTATATGACACAGTGAGCAGTGGCTGCTTGGGATGCTCAAATCCTGTATCAGAGTGCTTGGATCGAGTCCTGGCTGTTCCAGTCCAGTTTCCTGTTATCTCCCCCACCCCCTCCCACCCCCAGGGAAGCAGCAGTCCTTGGGTCCCTACCGCCCACATCGGAAGGCTCCTAGATTCGGTCTAGCCCAGCTCTAACAGCAAAATAAACGTCTTAATTCCATTTTCCCATTTTATTTTACTTTATTTTTTCTTTTAAAGATTTTATTTATTTATTTGATAGGCAGAGTTACAAGACAGAGAGAAGGGAAGGAGAAAGAGAGAAAGGTCTTCCATCCGCTCATTCACTCCCCAAATGGCCACAACAACCAGAGCTGGGCAGATCTGAAGCCAGGAGCCAGGAGCTTCTTCCGGGTCTCCCATGCTGGTGCCAGGGCTCAAGGACTGGGCCATCATCTACTGCTTTCCCAGACCATAGCAGAGAGCTGAATTGAAAGAGGACCAGCCAGGATATGAACCAGTGCCCATATGGGATGCAGGTAGAGGCTTAGCCCACTACACCATAGCGCTGGCCTGTTATTTTATTTTATTTTTTTTAGATTTGTTTATTTATTTGAAAGGCAGAGTTAGAGAGACAAAAGAATCTTCTATCTGCTAGTTCATGCCCCAGATGTCCACAATGACTGAAGATATGAGCCTAGAACTCCATCCAGGTCTCCCATGTGGGTTGCAGGGGCCCTAGTACTCAGGACATCTTCCATTGTTTTCTCAGGTGCATTAGTGGTGAACTGGATCAGAGTGGAGCAGCCGGGACTCCAACTGGTGCCCATATAGGATGCTAGTTCCACAGGCAGGGGCTTAACTCATTGTACCACAATGCCGGCCGCAATTCCCATTTTCCACAAATTTTTTCAAGTACCCTCATTAAATATTCCCACAAAAATGTTTATGTCATTCCCTCTATGTGTTTATTTATGAGGCAGAGAGAGACAGAGAGAAAGAGAATCTATGCATTGGATCATTCCCCAACTGTCCATAATGACCAGCGCTGAGCCGAACCAGTATCAAAATCCAGGTCTTTTATGTGGGTGGCAGGAACCCAATAAATTGAACCATTGCCTGTCACCTCCCAGGGTATATGCTAGCAGGAAGCTGGAGTCTGGAGCTGGAGTCAGGTATTGAACCCAGGCACTATGATTTGGGACACAGGTAAATGTCCTCCCTATCCCATCCCATTTCTTCCACGGTTTTAAATACCAAATGTCTACAATATTTTCTGATTTCTAACCTCATCCCTTTTAATATCCAGACCTGTATGTTGAATACATTTATTTTCTTGCTATCACAGGGATCACACACATTCAGTATGTCTGTCCTCCAAATCAGCTCGTCTTAATAGTGTTCCCTGTCAATAAATGGCATACTGTGCATATGTGAAGCTATGAGTACATAGCTTAAGTGCCTAGGCTTAAGACCCATTTCCACCCTTAGTTACATGAGCGTACAACATGACCTTTACTCTTCATCTGTAAAATGGGAAACCAAACATCTCCCTCTGAGGGTTGTTGGGATGACTAACACTGGGTAAATGTTAGCATTCACTGGTCATCATACTTCTCTGTGACCTCACGCTACATATGTAATTTCTCATCATACAAAGCAGTGATAGGCGGGCCCTCAAAGTATTTCAGATCCACCACTTTGATCTCATGGCCTCTTTTCCACTGTAAGCCCTGTTTCTCTTGCCTGTAGTAACTAGTCTTGTCACTTCTTGCGTTTTCCATTCCTAATCCATCCAGAATTGTTCTTTAAATCACAGCATGCCATTTCTTAAAACCTGTCCTGGTGCACACAGTATACAACCCCAAATCTTTAAACACAGTATGTATTGGTCATTGTGTTTTCTACATGGCTTTTGCCTGTTAAGCTTTCCAACCTCATCTGAGGTCACTCTACCGTGCAATCTCCCTCATTTTCCCCCAGAACTAACCTCCTAGTCATTGAGATTTCAGCTGAAATACTACTTTGTCAAAGACATTTCTTGATTTTCCAGGCTAAATTGGGTTCTTCAGTTACATTCCTGTATTTTGAATTTATACATTCCTATTTGAGGATGATCAGTTTCTTCCCAGCTGACACCAAGGAAGTTAAGGAATTTCCCAAAGCCCTGAAGCTGGTTATGTTGGGACTGGGAATTCCAACCCAGGACTGGCCAGCTCCTTCTGTGATTCCGAGAGAGCAGGGAACGGGATATGAAAACATGGCCTGACTTCTGTTGTCTCCTTCTGCTTAACCTTCAGATTTACCTTAAATATCCACCTCTTGTAGCCATTTACTCTGCTTCATTAGATTATAAGCTTTAGGGATTTTAAATAAGTTACCTACTCACTGTTCACAAAGACGTAAGGATGCTCATTAAATATTTTTGTTTTAGGGTTGTTAAAGAAAGACAGTGTTTTAATCCATTTAATCTTTTCAAGGTTTGAAGCTGTGATACAAAAGAAGTTAATACCTTATTCTATACTCTACCAATGAAAGTACATTTTATGTTTTCTTATTGTGCATAAGAAAACTGCCTAAAATATTTGAAAGGAAAGTTAGTAGTGTGTGTCTTAATGGATTATCATACTTGTTTTGTTGGGGAAAAAATTAAATATTTTTGCTTTCCCTCAGGAATTAAGTGATCTACAGCGTGATCCACCGGCTCACTGTTCCGCTGGCCCTGTGGGAGATGACTGTAAGCTTTACTCTATTTCTAAGATTTGCTACTGTTAAAAATACAGCTTTGAATGTTTGTTAATGACTCCCAAACTTCTTTCTTTGTTTCAGTGTTCCACTGGCAAGCAACTATTATGGGGCCTGTAAGTATGATTCATATTTGTGAAATTAATCCCCTCAGCCATACCTCACTGTTGCCATTTCACCTTTGTCAGATGTTTGCAGCTAAGGTTGAATTTCCTTGTTCTCTGTGTCACCCAAGAAGCAAAAAGGAGTTAATGATGATTTTCTATAGCATTCTATAGCATATACTTGCCAGGATCACTGTGATGTTTTTCTTTGCCAAATCCTTGATCGTTATAGATGGTATTTACAAGCAGGCTTTGTGTATGCTTTTTTATTTCATTTAAATGCAGTGAGTCAGTTGTTCATAACTAAGCATAATTATCTCACATCCGCAGTAGGTTAGAAGTTAATTAACCCAGTGATGGAATTTCTACAAATGACAAGCATCAATTTGCAGTTTGTTTCGTCATTGTTCTTTTTTGTGGAAGAAAATTGATAAATAGTGTAACAGGTCTGTCTTTACCACTTATTTATGTGCAGCTTTTAATTTTATTGTTTGTCCTGAACTCAGAATTATTTAGTATTTTATAGCTGACTCCTCTTAATATTTATTTCCTTTTAAAAATTACTTCTTTCGGCCAGCGCCGCGGCTCACTAGGCTAATCCTCCGCCTTGCAGCGCCGGCACACCGGGTTCTAGTCCTGGTTGGGGCGCTGGATTCTGTTCCGGTTGCCCCTCTTCCAGGCCAGCTCTCTGCTGTGGCCAGGGAGTGCAGTGGAGGATGGCCCAAGTGCTTGGGCCCTGCACCCCACGGGAGGCCAGGAGAAGCACCTGGCTCCTGGCTTCGGATCAGCGCGGTGCATCGGCTGTAGCGTGCCAGCCGCAGCGGCCATTGGAGGGTGAACCAACGGCAAAGGAAGACCTTTCTCTCTGTCTCTCTCTCTCTCACTGTCCACTCTGCCTGTCAAAAAATAAAAAAATAAAATAAAATAAATTACTTCTTGCATTACCAGAGAGACAGTTGTGACTTGAAACAGGCATTTCTGTGAGCAAAAACCTGACTGTCAAGAATGGGCACTGATGACTTTGATCTGCTGAGATACATTAGTAACATGTTTCTGTGAGCATCGTATCCCGCCCTCCCCTGCAGGAGCTTTATCTAGTGAATTACAGAGTTTTATCCTATTACCTTGTGTTTAACTTTTAAAAAATAAAACTACTGAATTTTAGTGCAGGCTTCCTGGGCAATTGTGTCAAATTACTAATTGTTACATTGTTTTTTAAAAGGTAAAGTGTATCATATAACAACCTTCAAATAAGAATCCAATGATTTCTGTTTGTTTTTCATTAGTTACTGAGACCCATCAAAATACTATCATTTAAAGGGCCACCCTAACCATCTGAGTTGTAGCCCTTCACAAATACCTTTGGTAAATGCTTATAATTATTCATATGTCCCTTATTTTAGTAAAGTGTGTAGTACCCTTTGAATATCTAAGCAAACCATATCTGTCATTGTAATTTGCTTATATTTTCTTCATTCCTTATGATTTTTGGTGAACTAGAACTAAACAACATGTATAAGTAAGAATAATTGCATGGTATAGTCCTCTAATTTATATGCAGAAACTTAAGAAGGAAGTAATGATAGTTTTGCTGTGGTTACTAAAATGTTAATATAACATGATGTATTTAATTAAATATGAAGAGTCAAATTAGAATTTTAGGTATATTTTGCTACCATTTTTCTTTTTTCAACTTCTTTTTAATTGCTTGGAATGTTATAGTTTATGATGGTCATAAAGATAGATAGCCAAACTCCTCTTATAAAGTTGATAGCTAATTATAAACTGTTACTGAATGAAGAATGGAAGGATAAATTGTGTAATTTGGTCTCTTCAATTCACCTCTATTCTTGGCCCTTAAGGGAACATTAGAACTTAAATTTTATATATATAAGAAGGTAAATACTAGCCTCAGCTCTTTTCATATTGTTTACTACTGCAGAAAATTCTCTTTCCTTACAGTAGTCTTGTATATATATTGATCTTTAAAAATATTTTTAATAAACAGATTTGTTTGGACGAGTCACAGCACTGTGTGTGTCCTAATTTTGTTTTATCTTATACTTTGTGATGTCAGCATGATTGTTGGAAAATTTTTCTTCATATTTGTGAAGGAAAACCTCAAGGTAAATGATTTGAATGTGTGACACAGTGATTGCATTTCTGTCAACCTGAAAATATTTAGAGAAATCATTTTAAATTATGAACTAAATACAGAAATCAAATACTGATGCCAGTGTCATATCATTGCAGCCCGATAGTGCATATCAAGGTGGAGTCTTCTTCCTCACCGTACATTTTCCAACAGATTATCCTTTTAAACCACCAAAGGTATGTTTGTGTTTATGACTTATACGGCTCTCATGTCAGGTGTTTTATTCTGTATCCACAAATAGTTTCTGATGTCAAAGACTGTGGGTACATTAACATGCTCAAACTGATTTTTAAAGCTACTGAATCTTACATACAATTTCTTACTCAGAAATTGTATTATCTCTAAAACAGAAGGCCCTGTCTGTTATGCTATACGTTAACTTCCTTGCCTTCCTTTCCTTGCTTAATAGCTATCTGTAGTTCGGGAAGTTTTTATGGTCAGAGATCAGACCTGTCTATTCATGGGATTTTTCTTTCCAAGCTCAACCCTTCTTAGTTTTCAACAAATATTTATTGAGTGCCTGCCATGTTCTGCTACGTTGGGGAATAAAGAAGTAAATATGCCAGTTCCTTTATTCATTTTAGTGGGTCAGGTAAAAGCACATTCTTATTTAAACACTTAATTTTGAAGATCTAAAGAAGAAACAAATGGTGAGAATATAAAGGAGGGGGGAAAAGTAAGCAGATTCTTTCACTCAGGATATAACTATTTCCGATTTTTAAAAGCCTGATTAACACTGTATATATAAAATGACATGACAGTAACCCTTGTGGAAGATTAGGATTCTTGGTGGGTTTCTTAGGACAAGCTGAGGCCTCTTGACCATTCCCTAGAACAGAATCAGCGTCTTGTTTTTAGTGTGCCTTCCAAGTATCACTGATAATCAAGAGAAGAATTACTACTTCAAGGTCTGATGAAAGCCTTGGTTAATGATTCTAGCTGCCCCTCAACCAGTCATACCAGCTATTACAGACTTACTGATTACACTCTGCAAGTACTTGGTAATTTGTTGTGGAGGGAAACTGACTTAATTGTTTTTAAATTTCCTGTAGCTAGAACATCACACAGCACCATGTAGATGCTCAGTTTCTGTTGAACGTATTTCTCCTCCACAGCCATGAAAATTGTGGGTATTTTACCACAGAGCATGCTATTTCTGTTTTGTTCCTAGCATATGGATTGTAACATTTTTGTTGTTGTGTTTTGTTTTATATTTAGATTGCTTTCACAACAAAAATTTACCATCCAAATATAAACAGTAATGGAAGTATTTGTCTCGATATCCTGAGGTCGCAGTGGTCACCAGCCCTGACTGTATCAAAAGGTAATTTCATTTATTAGATTTAAAAAGCTTGATAAAAGTAAGACCAGAAAAATTAAAGTATTTAGGAACCAAAGTGTTTTTTAAAGATTTATTTATTTATTTGAAAGAGAGGAGCCTTTTACCCTCTGGTTCACTCGCCAGGATCCAGATCTCCCACATGGGTGGCAGGGGCCCAAACACTTGGGCTATCCTCCACTGCTTTTCACAGGCCATTAGCAAGGAGCTGGATCAGAAGTGGAGCAGCCAGGAAATGAACCGCACCCAGATGTGATGCCAGCATTGCAGGCGGTGGCTTAACCCACTGTGCCACAGTGCCTGCACCTAAGGATCAAAGCTTTAAACAACTGATCTGCTGCGCTTTCTCCTGTTTTGATTTTTGGTTCACTCTCACGGCTCTTTTGTTGCTCTGACTTTTAGCACTTAGCTTGGGGATGGGGGTGGATGGCAGATGTGGATGTGCAAATCCAAGTGATGAAATAAGATGATAGTAACAATAATAGAACTAGAAATTTGGGGATAAGCCTATAGAGATTTTACTCTCTTAGCTTGGAGTTTGTCTTACAAAAAAAGAGAGAGGGTAAGAGATAGTAGCACGGATATTCTGGAACCAATTATGCCATTCATTAACTAGAACTATTGACAATAATGAGTTAAGTTTTATGGTTGTTTTACCTCTTAAAAAAGTTTTATATTTGGCTGATAAAATAAGAAATTTTGAACAGACATTATTTCCCTTTTAGAATAATGCAATCAGTACATGGAGCATGTCAGTCTAAACTTAGAATAAATGATAGTATCATAATGACTGACATGACATCCAGACTGATTCTTGACTCTCCCAGATCTGCAGCAGATCTCTGCCAGATCTGGTTGTTGTTGTTGTTGTTGTGTTTTTTTGTTTTTTTTTTTTTTTTTTTTTTTTGAGATTTATTTATTTATTTGAAAGTCAGAGTTACACAAAGAGAAGAGAGGCAGAAAGAGAGGTCTTCCATCTGGTGGTTCACTCCCAATTGGCCGCAATGGCCAGAGCTGCCCCCATCAGGAGCTTCTTCTGGGTCTCCCATGCGGGTGCAGGGGCCCAAAGACTTGGGCCATCTTCTACTGCTCTCCCAGGCCACAGCAGAGAGCTGGATGGGAAGTGGAGCAGCTGGGTCTCAAACCGGTGCTCATATGCGATGCTGGCACTTCTGGCCAGGGTGTTAACCCGCTGTGCCACAGAGTTGGCCCCAATTGCCAGATACATAAGAGTACATAGGAGCTCTGAAGCCATTTTTGTTTCATTAACTAGTAGTGTTCACTGTAGCAGCACTTTGTATTTCTGTCTTGTTTCTCTAACAGAAGAGAGTCTGATAGTTTGCATTAGAAACATCTGCCCCTGAAGTAACTACCACATTTCCCCTTTTTAAAAAATTAAATTGTTTCTCTTAAAAGAGTCATTGAATCCAGCAGCTGTCAAGCTGTCCAGGCTTGTATGATGCCTGTGATGGTGTTACACTGTTGGAAGAGCAAGCACTGTTTTTGTTGAGGTTTGGCTCTAAGCACTGTTTTGGTGTGTTGGGGGCAAGAACCCTTGGGCAGTGTTTTGTGCCTCTGAGAGTGGAATGTCTCTTCCTGTGGAGTTGCTCCTAGTTTGGGTGCAAACAATTTATTTAAAAAAAAAAAGTCATGGAAAGAATTTGTGGTCATTTCTTTTTTTTTTAATTAAATAAATAAATCCTACCTGAATATTGAAATGTTTTTATAAAAAAGTGATGAGGTTTTATAGGAAGCAGAGTTAACAACCTGTTTCAAGTATTAGAAAAATAATGGCCCTTAAGGTCAATTATTTATGTACAGTTGTTTTTCTGACCTAAAATGCTCATTTAAAATATTCAGATGGATTCCAGTATCCATTTTAAAACCTTTCACAAAGTGTAAGTGTCATGTACTGGTTATACCAATGCTTCTGTGTCAAAAGGTTATTCAAATTGGTAAACTGTTTTCTGGAGTGGTGTCACATAATGAGTGTTATTTGGCATGAATAACTAAGTCCTTATTCATTTGAAAGAAATGGCAGACCTCCAGGATGCTGAATACCTTTCTCTACAAAGAATAGAATGTTGGCTTCTGGAAATCTGTCCTTCGAAAATTCAAATAGTACTATCCTGTAGTAGGGTCACTATGCACCTGGCAAATAACAAACTTTGAAATCAGTGTTTACTGTTACCTTTTTCCTTATCTTAAACAATTGGTTTGTGTGCATGATAATGAAGCCCAAGCAGAAGGCCCCTGGCAGCAGTGGTGGACTGTGGAAGAACTTCTTTCACTCTTGCTTATTTTACAGGATAGCTCCTGACTTGCTCAATTGTACATTTTTCACTGTCCTGTATTTTAAATATCTTGTTTGGCTTTTTCTCGTGGGTCTAGTCTGGAAGTATTCTGGAGATGTAAGTGAGCCCAGAAAATCTTCAAGTTTCACTGGGTAGGTAGAAGATCAGGAAGATGAATAAAATATTAGTTTTTTTCCCTTAGTCCTTAGTACCCCCTTTTCTCGTCATTTAGGAGTCAGCTCTGCTCTATACAAGGGTACTTCAAAAAATTCATGGGGAATGGAATTAAAATATAATGCACATTTTCCCTGAACTATTTGAAGACCCTGCAGATACCCACCTTTAGACTTGAAAAAAGTAAGAAAAGATAAAGGATGGTAGTAGAAGAGGGAAGGTGGGAATGGGGTTTGTTTGAAAGGTTCCACACACCGTCTCAGAGTTGGTGGCAAGCAGTTAGAAGCAAGTGAGGAACCTACATCCCTGTTCCTCCAGTTTCAGATACTTAGATGTTTGTATTTCTTTTGAGCATAGCCATCTATCTGCACTAGTGCTTTAATTTTCATTTATGTCGTAACAAGTTATTTAAAAATAGCTGTTCGTATATACATTTATTTTACTATTTTTAAATAACAGAATACAAATAAGGTACATAGAATGAAAGACTCATTGGAAAAAATCTTACAAATCCTCCTTCTTTGTTGATAGTACAGAGCCAGAGTAAAAGAGAGCACCCAAGTACAATATCCAAACTAGTTTGAACTGTTAATTGTAATGTGATTGCTTTGTAGAGAACTCTTGAGTTTAAAGATTGTTAGGAGGTATTCCAGAGGTTCACATTAAACTCTGTCACCTTTAGATAAAGTTTACAACTGCAAATGGTATAATTTTATGTTATATACATTCTGGGGTAGTTAAAAGTTAAAGATATTGTGCTATCAAGCAAAGTTAGTATAAAATGTAGTTGATGTGTTCATTTTATTTTGTATTTATAAGTTCAGTAGCTGTATTCAGTAAAATTATTTTCACAAACATAATTTGTATAAAGTAGAAGACTGTTATCTAACATGCTATTCTCTTTTAAATCTAGTTTTATTGTCCATATGTTCTCTACTTTGTGATCCTAATCCAGATGACCCTTTAGTACCAGATATTGCACAAATATATAAATCAGACAAAGAAAAGTAAGTATTTACTTATATTGGTTTCTACTTGGGTGCATTTCTAATAGTTTGCCAAAATATGAGGTTTATCAATATTTTTAAGAACATTTAATTGTGCTTATTTTGTTTATCTTTTTTTGAGGTAGTAAACTTTTCCTTTTAAACTCCCAGTCTTTTTGCAAAATACATAGTTCCTTCCAGTTGCTGTTAGCAGAACGTGTTCTGTGTTTGCACATTAACTATGAACATATATAATTCTAGGTGATAAATTAAAAATGAAAGAATTTAACCACTGGAAAATATTGAATATTATATTCCCTATCTTATGCCAGGAAGAGAAGTTCTTTCCATACTCACCCAAACTGCCTTAATTGACTTAATTTTCAAGCTGCTTCATTTTGCTAGGACTGTAGGTTCATTTGTAATTTCCAAGTAATCCTTTTCAGAGTTGGCTTTTACAGATTGTTGTTGGAATTTGGTTTTTACATTGTGTTTTTTATATTTTAGCTTTTTTGATATAGGTTGTACAGAAAGCCATGAGCTAAAAAGTGATTTAGTTTTCTGTTTTATTTATGCACGACTGTAAGTCACATTGACCCAGCAATTAGTGTATGTGTGATTATTGCAGTTAAGCAAGAGAAATAGAATATACATTTCTATTCACAAATGCTTCTGAAAGATTAAATTTGTATATTTTTACTGTATCCCTTTTGTGTGCCTACAGATACAACAGACATGCAAGAGAATGGACTCAGAAATATGCAATGTAAAATGAAAAAATTTTTTTTCATATATACCAGAGTACTGTAAAATCTAGGTTTTTTTCATCATTAGCAGTAAATTGAGCACTGTTTACTGTTTCATTGTACCATGAAACTCTTTGATTTTTACCCATCTTAAGTGTGTTTTCTGAAGCAAGACAAAACAAACTTCCAAAAATACCCTTAAGACTGTGATGAGAGCATTTATCATTTTGTATGCATTGAAAAAGACATTTATTATGGTATTTAAGATACTTGGACATCTGCATCTTCAGCTTACAAGATCTACAATGCAGCTGAAAAGCAACCAAATTATTTTTTGCTGAAACTAGATGTTTTTACATGAGGAATACTGTATGTGCTAAGATTTCGTCACTTTTATAAATCTGTATTCAGATTTCATTCTTTGTTAGCTCACTTTATAATTTGTATTTTTTTACTGTATAGACTAAATATATTCTATTTACATGTGTGTCAACTCATTACTTTTTTCCTGTGAACAGTATTGAAAAAACCCAACAGCTGATAATTAAATGAATTAACTGTGTCTCCCTTGTCTTAGGATATTCTGTAGATTGATCGCAAATTTCTTAAACCTGAAATGATCTTTACACTGTAATTTTGAGTATACTGATTATGGAGAAACACTTGTTTTGATTTTGTATACTTGACTTAACTTTATTGCAATGTGAATTAATTGCACTGCTAAGTAGGAAGATATATAACTTTTATTTGTTGCTATTCACATTTGAATTTTTTTCTGTATAGGCAATATTATATTGACACCTTTTACAGATCTTACTGTAGCTTTTTCCATATAAATAAAATGCTTTTTCTACTATTTGTCTTGATTACTTAAAAAAGTGAAAATTACTTTATAAGTAAGGATTAAAGCTCTGTGTAAAATTTTGCATGAAAATTACTTCCAAATTGTGACTATGAAGTCTGTTGTGTTTGGCATTAATCACCATTAATTATAAACTTTATTGCTTTAGGTTAGTATCTCTTTATTAAATTGTGTATCTATAAGATAGTATACTTTCGTCTCTTGTAGAGGAGAATTTAGAAGATGGAGTTTGTCTTAAATCAGATCTAAAATGGATTATTGCAAAGGCCTTTAAGTGAGTATAAGGCAGTGTCACCCACCATGAAGAAAATTGTGTTTGTAGACCCGAGGAATCACTAGATTAATTCAAAAAAATGCTCTTCTAGATGTAATAGGCAGTGTAATTCTTAACATTTTAAAATCTGAAATTTCTAAAGCAGAATTTTAATGCCATCACAATGTGAAAAACATTTTTTATTATAGAAGTTACAAAGAAAATCCTAAATAGATGCTTCCTTCTGTTTTTATAAATTGCCAGTTAAAAATGCTTTAAATTAGCAGATTGTAGATTTTAAGAAAATCTAGAAAGCTCCAATGTTTTAACTTGAGAAAAATACATCTCTTTAGTGTTTAGCATGCTTATCAAACTTGAGTGAGTGTCATTTTTAAGAACAGTTGTAGCTCTTGATTATTGTAGTAGCTGTGTAAGTGTGCAGGAATCTGTGATGGGTGTAGTTGTTAACAAAGGATTTAAATCACTTGAGTATTTGATCATGGTTCACTATTTTATTAAAGCACAAAATAACCTTGTTGTTAGAAATTATGTGTTTTTAAAAATGAATGTAAAATAATTAAATGAATTGTGAAATGGATGTTTAAGAACATATAGTCTTAAAAAGCAACTTTATTAAGTGATGTCTTGAAATAGCCATAATGTGAAAAATACTACTTCACTGGCTATATATATAAGCTACATTTGCCCTGAATTTGAACACTCAACATCTTTAGATTTAAGTATTTAGTATATTTTGATAGTAAAGGGTTTTGTTTCTTGAGTATCTTTCACTCTTTTTTTTAAACTTTTCATTTGTGTGGCATTTATTTTTGAAAGTGTCTTTTTTTCTTTATTAAAGTTTTTGAAACTTGCCTAACTCTTGTTTGCCTTTGCTTACCTCTGAATTGTACAACCAGACTCCTGAGGATAGAGCACAAATTCTCACAATGAACTAAAAATCTTAGTTTGATAATGGCCAAATAGTCAGATCACCACTTTGGGCATATTGTTTTTGCTTAGTTCTGACAGCATCAGTTGCCCTTTAAAATAGTAAATTCAAAAGTCGGGGGAGGGGGCAGCAGTCTTTTGGCAGTTTAGGATCCCACATCTTGAAGTCCTGAATGCTTTGAAGAATAGTTTAAAAAACCATATTCAGATTGGATTCTGGACTCAAAGTTACACATATGATGATCAGTGATACACGTTGTCAGGGCAGCCTCATCATCATTCCTCAGCTGTCTCAAAAATATCATTTCTGAAGTACAAGCTTTATACATTTATTTGCTTATGTAAACTATATATCCAGGGATGTCAAAGGGTTTGTGGAAAATGAAATTTAAAAAGTTTATTCTGGTGCAAACCAGCTTTGGAATCCATATATGTAACTGATATTCATAAAGTTCATGAAAAATATGTATTATGAAAAAATGCATTGATTTCAAGATTTATTTGCACCAAAACAGACTTTATGAAGTTCTCTCATACAACTCTTCATTTTTTTCTTTATTGCCCTGTTCATCTACCCCCTAAACTCAGGGAAGATTAACATTTTACTTTGCACATCAGTTTCGAAGGACAAAATCGTGCTGGGGGACAGAGTACAAGGGCAACTCTGAGACATTTAGAACAGGTACTTTTAAAAAAATGAGAAATAATACCACATTATAGTTTTTCATTTCTCTTGTCACCGTGTTATCTGACTTGTTTTAGTAATTGACGAACAATAACTTGCTCTCCCACAGTTCTTATTTAAGATGAGAAGATGAGGGATATTAATTTTTGTCTCAGATTTAAAAGCCAAAGTTATTCATATCATAGCTATTTATTGGTGGTCAGTGTGAACTGGACTCAAATTGCAGTCCAATTGATGGTATTGTAAAATTGGAGTTCTGCAGTAGAATCAGCAGTTCTGTTCATCATTGGAAAATGATTGACACTTTGACCATGGTTGTATAATAGAGTTTCAGTGCATCTGGGTCTTGACTGTTTTGCCTATAATTTTTCCTTAGTTTTAACATTTTAAGTGGCTATTTACAAAGTAGCAAATCTGAATTTTTAAAAATTTTCTGTCACCTTACCAACTCTAAACTAGGACTTCTTGTTATTTTCTTTAAAGATTAATCACAATTTAATAGCCCTAAAATGTGCTTCAGATTATTGGTGAAAGTTTGTACTTTTATTCTGAAAAAAATGCTTCTCTTATTATACTGCCCTTTGTATTGCACAAATAAGGCAGCAGGAAGATGTTAATTTTATTTGTAAGAATGTCTGTTCTTTTATATATGCATATATATACATATATGTGTATTTTTTTCTGGTAATATCTGTAGGCTCTTCAACCATGTAATTCACAGGCTTTCACCAAGGTTTGTTTTTTGTTGTTGTTTCCCAGTAATGGTGGCAAATAAAAATGTGTAGACAGGTGGTATTTTTTGTTGTAGAAATACTTTGTAATGCAATAATTTAATATTTTGTGGGGAACATTGTGATACCACTTGTGTAATTGTCTAATAGATGTTGCACCACTTTTATTTTGTTAAATTTTTGCTGCCATATCCTGTTATGTATAAGAAAATGGCCTTAAATTATAAATGAACTGAACTAATGAGAAAAGTATTAGTATTAGTATTAGTATGAATATTGGGGAGCTTTTTGTATAAGATACATTTCTTTTGAAACTTATTTCAGCTTTGTCTGGGTCCTGCTACTTGTAGAGGGAGAGATGTGTTTTACCTTATGAGGAGCTGCTTTTATTATACTGGCACATGTATAAAGTCCGAAATATGCTTTCCCCATATAATTTACTTCATGGAAAAAAGGAAAAAAGCTGTGAGGATCTCTTTAGTGCCAAAGAATACTGTGAGTTGTCTATGAAATATTTTTACATGAACTCAGTATATCTTATGGGGAGCAGTTGTGATACCACTTGTGTTAGCACTTCTGATACACTTTTTGCAGTCACTGTCCACCCACACACATGGTGTGGCAGTACAATTCACAGGACTCGGCATACGGTCATACTCACAGCTAAGACTGATTATAGCAACACAGCAAGGATGTATAGCTAGGTCAGGAAGAGGAAAAGAACAGATCAGGCAGAGTCTAGGAGGAATTCCTCTGCAACCTACCTGTGTTCTGTGTATCTGCACCCAGAAATGCTAGTTGGAAACCCCAAGTCCAGGGTTTTTATTAGAGGTTAATCTTGCAGGCATCCTTTGTCCTCCGAAACCCCAAGTCCAGGGTTTTTATTAGAGGTTAATCTTGCAGGCATCCTTTGTCCTCCAAAATTCTAGTCTTCTAGAAGGAAGGGTGTTCACAATAAATCGTGTTCATTTAAAAACTCTGGTTAGGCTAGCTAACAGGCACAGCCTTATCACTTAGGGAAAGTTAACAAAAGCCAAGTTCTTAAATATCAGCTGAGGACAGGCCCTTCTAAAGATGGGGGTAGGTACAATTTTTTAATAGGAATATTCTTTCCCTTTGAGTGGTCTTGGTACCCTTGTTGAAAGTCAACTAACCATAAAGGTTTGTTTCTGGATTCGCAGTATAGCCTTATGCCAGTAGCACACTGTTTTTTGTTTTCTTTTGCTTTCTACTGTGACTTTGGCGTAACTTGAAGTATGGGTCCTTCATCTTTGCTCTTTTACAATATTGTTCTGACCATTCAGGTCCCTTCTAATTCCATATGTGTTTGAGGATCAGCTTCTCCATTTTTCCTGCTGAGATTTTATTTGAGAGTGTACTGAATCTATAAAGCAACTTTGGTACAGGTGATGTCTTTTGTTCTGGTTTTACTGAGTGACAAACCACTCCAAACTAAATGGTGTGAGAACAGTCATTGCATTATGCTGATGGATTGAGTTGGGTGAGTACAGTGGGGGTGGCTTGTCTGCTCCTTGGCACTAAGAGTGTCAGCTGGGGATGACTCACATAGCTTGGGGTTGAAATCTGAAGACAGCTCCACGCATGTATTGCACCTGCGTTCTCCTGGAGCACTTCCTAATGACCTTTCTTGGCTTGGGTTTCTTGCAACCTGGTGCTTCAGTTAAGAGAGAACATTGGGAGACCAAATCTTCCGGGAGAGTGAGGAGTAAGCTGCATGACCTTTTCAGAGCTGCCCTTGGAAGTCATATAGTGTCATGTATGCTATATTTTGGTTCAAATAGTCACAAGCTCACTCTAATTCAAGGGAAGTAGACATATTTGTGGATTTTCAGCTTTCCATGAGAAAAAAACTTGCATGAGTATATGCATCACTCAGTGTACTTAGGTTGTCTTTAGTTTTTAATTGTGTTTTGTAGTATAATTACATTTGTAACTTTCTGTATAGAATTCTTGCACAATTTTTCATTGAATTCCTTGGTATCCAATTTTTCAAACCTATTATAAAAGTCATTTCATTTCCTATGTTTTTTGATGGATAGAAAAACAACTTATAATCGCCTTGTATTCTGCAGCTTTGCAAAATTAGCTTTTTAAAAAATTGTAGAATTTTAAAGTTTTATACACATTACCATCAAATAGATATTTTTATTTCTCCATTTCCAATCTATAAGCCACATTTCTCTTTTTTGCATTAGATGGAACTGCAGGATCGTGCTGAATAGAAATGGTGATAGGAATTATCCTTTCTTGATTTCCAAGGGAAATCCAGAACCAGGAGCCTAAAACAGGTATCAGACTCAGGCCTTCCAATATGGGATGGGATCATCCCAACTGGTGTCAACTACTAGGCCAAATACTCTGCCCCATTCGCTAATGTTTTGTTGAGGACTTTTTCCATGAAAAAGAGTTGGCTCATAATTTCCTTTCTTAAATATTTTTGTCAAGTTTGGTTCCTTAAGTTATGCTGGCATCATAAAAAAAGTTGGGAAACATTCTTTCTTTTCTTTCTGCAAAGACTTGGTATAAGATTTATGCTATTTTCCTTAAGTATTTGAAAGAACATACTGAAGTTATTTGTGTCTAGTTTTCTTTTTAGACCTAAAGTTGTGGAAAGATTCTAACAATGCTAAGTTTTTTATAACTATAGAACTGGGTATATATTTGTTACTCTTAAGTTTTGTGTTTTTCAAGGAATTTGCATATTCAAGTTGTCAGTCTATTTGGCACGCAGCTGTTCATAGCATCTTTCTTAAGGTAGTAAATACCTTAGTATCTCCTTTGATTTTAATTTTAAGTTAGTCTTTAGGAATTTATTTTTTTAAAAAAGTCAGTGTTCAATTTAAAATTTCTCTTTGTTTTCCATTTCATTTAATTCCATTCATTTAATTCTATCCTATTTCTTGTTTTATTTTTTCTAGCTTCCTGAGATTGAAAAAATAAGTTTCAGCCTTTCTCCTATTGTATCATAGGCTTTGAATACTATATACTTCCCCCTAAGCACCAGTTTATATGCATTGAAATATTGCATTTTCATTATCATTTAGTTTAAAATGTTTTCTAGTTCTCATTTTGGTTGCTTAAAATTTAAAAACAGTTCTGTTTCTAAGCAGTTTTTTAAAAATTCTTTTTTTTTAACTTTTATTTAATGAATATAAATTTCCAAAGTACAGCTTATGGATTACAATGGCTTCCCCCCCATAACGTCCCTCCCACCTGCAACCCTCCCCTTTCCCACTCCCTCTCCCCTTCCATTCACATCAAGATTCATTTTCAATTCTCTTTATATACAGAAGGTCAGTTTAGCATACATTAAGTAAAGATTTCAACAGTTTGCTTCCACATAGAAACACAAAGTGAAAAATACTGTTTGAGAACTAGTTATAGCATTAAATCACAATATACAGCACATTAAGGACAGAGATCCTACATGAGGAGTAAGTGCACAGTGACTCCTGTTGTTGACTTAACAAATTGACACTCTTGTTTA